GTAGAAAATGCCTTGCAGCAATAGACTGAAGGAGCTCAATCTATTTAGCTTAACAAAGAGAAGGTTAAGGGGTGACTTGACTACAGTCTGTAAGTACCTACATGGGGAACAAATATTTAATGATGGTCCTCTTCAATCTAAAAGAGAAAAGTATAACATGATCCAGTGGCTGGAAGTTGAAATTAGACAAATTTAGACTCAAAATAAAACATATATTTTTAACTGTGACAGTAATTAGCCATTGGAACAATTTACAAAGGGTCAGGGTGGATTCTCCATCACTGCCACTTTTTAAATCCAAGTGGATGTTTGCATGATTTTCTAAAAGATCTGCTCTAGGAATTATTTTGGGGATGTTCTCTGGCCTGCGATGTACAGGAGGTCAGAATAGATAGTCATAATGGTCACTTCCAGACTTAGAATTTATGAATCTATGAGAGAGACTCCTCAGACATCTGGGTTTGGGGTTATCTTATTCCCATTGAAGTCAATAGCAAAATTGTTGACTTCAGTGAGCAGGTTGAGACCCTTTGTGGGTGCTTAAAATCAGATCTTGATGTGAAACATATTTGCAAGAAGCCAGTCCCCTCACCTCTGCTCCAACCAATCTTTCCCCCCCATATTGCTAAACTTATCTGTATCTCGTTTGCCTTCTCTCAGTGAAACTGGACAGAACTTAAGGTTTTATGATATAGGCAAGCCAAGCCTTGGCCTTTTCCATTGCCCCCTATATCTTCTTTCTACCATTCTGGCTCCCATCCTCCCACTCAAGGGAAATATTTGAAAGATAAGTTGGTATATTTTCTACCACCGTCAAATATCTCCCTGACTTAATGTTTTTTTAGCTGGAAGATAGCTTTTCAACATATATATATATATAAATAAAATCCTTTTCACCTAGACATGTGAGGAATTCCACTTTCTTCCAGTGGGAGTTCTCAGGAAGGTTCAGGTTAAATGGGCCAATAAGGGAAAAGCATGTAGCAGAAGATTTTACCCTCTAAAGAATTTTTTTTTAAAATATGTCAGAATATCTAACTGTCAAAGAATTTAAACAATAATACCTGATCTACAGACTGGAGTGCAGTGCTTCGTAATATAAAGATTGCAATCTCCCTACAGCGCACCTAGAGATTAATTGGGTTCAAAGCAATATGTCATGAAAGTCCGTCTAGCTGAAAAGTACAGCAGGGGAGAAACCTACAATCCTCTCTAACTGATTCCCACAGAAAAACTAGGAAAAATTCCCCTACAAATTACCTCCACCTGTTCATGGAGATGTAGAGACTTTATCCAAGAGGTAACTCAAGAAAATTTGCATTCAAGCATTTTGTTGAATGTTTGTGGTGACTGAAAATTGTTACTGTCTCATCCTTGTTCATCTGGCCTATGTGTAATGAGCTGGTAATATCAATCCTGGTTCTGGTGGATATGTGTCCATATCACAGAAACCATCATTGTGACTGGTAGTGTCAGCAGAGAGATCAAGGTTGGAATAGGCCACTGAGACTGAATTGGCCTCTCCACTTCTAGAATTTGGAGGACCAAATTCTGCGCTTGGTTATACCACGGGAAATCAGGAGTAGCCCCATTGACTTCCGTGAGGTTACGTCATTATAACGGAGAACAAGATTTGGCCTGGTGCCCATAGAGAATCATTGAGACACACGGGCAAGATATAGAAGTTTATGCAATTATCTGTGCTTTGTCTGCATGATGGCAAAACTCCCACTGATTTCTGTGGAAGAAGGACAGAGCTTTGGTGGGTTGTCAATCCAGCGTGTGTCACGATCCCTAAAAGTAATACAAATAATGAAAAAACTCAAGCATGAAAAAGAATCATAGCTGTAAATCCACCTGCAGTTAGCTTCCTAAACAATAATTTGTATCTCACCTGGATAAAAGTTTAATTTCAGCTAATAACATTTTAACAACCGAGGAGCACAAGACCAATATTTTCAAAAGTGAGCGCCTCAAGTAAGGCTTCTAAGTCCATATATAGGCACCTAAATAAGTCTGACCTGACTTTTGAAAGTGCTGAACACGTCTTAGCTCCCAGTGAGCTCAATGAGAGTGGCTGAGTGCTCAGCACTTTTGAAAATCAGGCCTCTTATTTAGGGTCCTAAATGTACACTCAGGAGCCTAACTAAGGGCACCCACTTTTGAAAATCTTGGCTGAAATAACTGCTTCTAGAATTTGAGAACCCCTTTGTGGGTTTTGTTGGGGGCCTGTTTTTATTGGTATAAACGTCACTCTTGATGTTTTCCCATCAAGGCTGCTGCTCTCAGTTTCTGTTCTGGGTACTAATGCATGATGATGTGAGGGCACAGACATAACCTTCTGCAGCCCAGGGAGAGTAGGAGGAAAGGTAAGTTCAATTTATTTCTAAAATTATTACATTATTTTACTAGATCTTTAAACTTTATTTAAATTCTTTATTTGGCAAAAAAGAGGGGGTATCATATTTTAATTAGTAGCCGTGTCAAAGGAGAGCTAGATTAATTATTGGAAATTACTCTGTCCAGATGGTTTTAATTTTCACAGCAGGGAACCGGCCTCTTTTGAAGGTGATATTTTTCAAATTAAAATCAGCCTGGATATTACTCATACATGCTGTAGTTTGAAGGTGACGTGGTGTGTCCTCTGATTTCTAACCTACGCCGCGTTCACGTCTGTGTTCTGCCCTAGTGAAACAATCCTTTGGATTAAAAAGGTGCAGGTTGCTTATCTCTAAAATTAAAGCCATCAGAGGGGTAAGAGGTGACTGAAGGAACTGGTAATGGAATATGAAGTCTTTTCATTGTTACGTTGCCCTTTATAATTCTCAAACCAAAGTGACCAAGAGTTGTTACCTGATGGTCAGCATCACACTTAGTAGTTTTAACCGAGGCTCCCAGAACTGAATGGACACGGAGAATGAATTACTCTCTAGCCCATAGAGGCAGTGCTTCCAGAAGAAGGCTGAGGCATGCTGTCAGTGTGGAGGTAACTTGCATTGCTATTGCCTATGCCCTCCCTGGTCTGTAGATAAATGGAGGACTTCAGCCTTCAGAGCTTCCATGTATGCTATTTTCTGGTCCCTTAATTGTTCCCACTTCTGGGCAGGGTTCCTCTGAGGGGTGTCCAAACTAACTCATTGGACACCTTCTTGAAGCAGTGGGCATTATCTGGGGTTCCCTGCCTGGTGTCACCTTCTGGATCCCTTGTTTTGACCTGCACCCCTATCCTTGTTTGTTCTTTTTTTGTCTCCCACAATGTCAATTTCTGGTTTCTTTGCCCCCCCCGCCCAAATGAAGTGGGTCTTGGTGCCCACCTCCTCAGCTGAGGGAGGGTCCAAATAATCAGCAGTAGGTTGACCCACCAGCCCCAGTGGTCAAGTAGGTTGGTACATTTCTTAGACACTGAAATATATATAATACACATACATGTTAAATCCATCTGCTGTTAGACACTTAAACAATAATTTCTCTCTCCCTTGATATAGGTTTAATTTCACGGGATACCCTTTTAACAAATGAAGAATCTAAATAAATGTAAGCATCTGTTGAACATTTGGTAATTGTAAGAATAAAAATACCAAAAATCACATCTCTGTCTGAGCTGCAGAAGGAAATCTCCATTGAGGGTTAAAGTTTTGTGATATTTACACTGCTGAAAAAGCCAAATTCTGACTTTACAAGTGGGAAAAATATTAATGTGCTTAAATGAAACAAACTCGTATTTCTATCCCCTTGGTAAATCCTTACAGTGAACATATTTGCTCTTAGAGGGTTTTACAGTTCTGAAATATGAAGGTCAAAAAGAATGTGACTTTCTGTAGCACAGATCAAACATTCTTCCGTGTTTGGCCATAGCTGTATTTTTAGGGTAAGAATTAATTCGTATGAATTTCCAGTACAGGGCCCGGGTTTCCGTGCACTGACATTTAGACATTCTCAGATTTTATTTCTATCATGTCTGCTTTCTATTCTGAGCTCTAGAGATGGCCTGGGCCAAAAGGCCAGATCTGAACACCCCAAACTTTATGGGAGGATGTTTTGGCTTTAACCTTGGTCCTGAACTGAATGTTGCAGCTGGCCCCTAACTCTGTAATGAGACAAAATGAAAATTCTGGGTCCAAATGCCTCCCCATTGTGGGGGTGGTTGTAGCGATGGGTTGCAGACCTGGATGCCAATTTTGGCCCATCTCTGACAACAAACTTGTGACATGGCAAGTGGCATATTAACTTAGAGAAGAAAACCATCTTCCACCATGGAGGCAGGGCCAGGGAAACTCTGCACTCCAACATGGTGACCAGGTTACGTTGTGTAAGGCATTAAATGCCCAGCCATGGGCAGGGTTCTAGGCTCTGCCCCACGGGATTGTCACAATGGTAGTTGGTGGGCTCCTGAGTATGCCAGGGGACACATACAGGACTTTTAAAGAGCCGGCGTCCCCATCAAAAAAGGCACCAAAGCAATGGTACTAATTTGCTCCCTGTTGTCGGTTTCAGTGAAATTGCCAGAGCCTGAAGGGGCCATGAGAATCAAGTGCACTTTTGTCTGTTTCGGTTAGGGCTGGCACACCAAACATTGGCCTGTGGTAAAGAATTTAGTTTTCACTTTGCTGTTAATGGCACCATTCCTGAGAACGTAATTCACAAGACGTTTTACAGGGGGACTCCCCTCCCCACACAAAAATATTAATATAGCTTTGTTAATCTGGGCAGTAAAAGTGTGCATGTGTGTATAAATTCTCAGTTTCACTGATGTAAATCTGGGGTAATCAGATAAAGTTAGTAGCATTATTTTAGATTTATACCTGTGTAACCAAGAGCAGAATTCAGCCTGAGGTAAGGTGTGTGGGTTGGTCGGTTGTGTGGGGTTTTTTTCCATATGGACTGTGTCTACATTCAGTGATCCAGGTGGACACAGGAGAACTTCTTGACTTACCTCATTCATGCCATGACTTGATCTGACTGCGCTGGTAAATGCCTTTTTTTCTTCTTCCTTTTACAAGCCCAGCTTCTAGTGGAAACAGACACATTTGGCAGTCAAGTCCGGATCAAAGGGAAAGAGACAGACTTTTACCTTTGCATGAACAGGAAAGGCAAGCTAGTGGGGAAGGTAAGTGTTTCCTATTAATTCATTTGTAACATGAGCATTACCTTTAGCAGTGACTGCGAAGTCGTAATGATGTGTTCCGAACTTTGCCTGTCAACCCCAAATGAAAAGCAGGACTTGAGGAATGTGGAATTTTTAAAGCAGTCCATCCCTTTACCAACCCTTCCCCCACAATAAAATAAAGCAGCCAACCACCGGGATTTTATTACTGATGCCTTGGGTATGCACAGGTTTCCATTTTACAGTTGCATAGATTGACAAAAGATGTATGCATCTCAAAAACAATCGAGCACTCGCATTACATGATATAAATCTCTTTTACCTTGGTGGTAAAAAAAATAAATAAAATTGTTAGGAACATGTTAGGGAGGTTAGCAGTGTAATGCCTGTTTTAATAACAAGAGTCAGAATATACTGTAGCAAAACTAATATTGGAATCTGAACATCTTATTAGGGCTGGGCCCCACGGTTCTAGCATTACAGGAATATTTTATTACTTTGGATCCCAGCACAATAGAAGCATGTAACAAATTACACATATTTGCCTGTGTAGCTTAACTTCTTTGCTGAAGTCATATTTTTTTTAATGCATTAACTTGTTTTTGTAACTTACATGGGTTCTTTGTATTGCTGGTGAATCCAAAGTTAAATAATTGGGCAGGAGGCTGTCAAAGTTAAATACCACCAAATGCACATAAAAAGCACTCACCCTCTGTACCACATGAATTAAAACACTGGCTATCCCTGTGGCAGTGAAAAAGGGAAGCTGAGTTTTTTGCTTTGAGTCAACAAAGGCACTGAAAGCCACATTCCCAAATAGAAACCAGGTGTCATAGCCACTCTGGTGAGATGTTATGTACTACGGTGGTCCCAGGAGTGATGCTTGAGGGGATGGGAAAGTCTTTTCATAGGGTGCTCTCCTGTCCCTTTACTCATGCAAGTAAAGGCTACCTTAAATACTGATATCTACACTACCTCAGTAAGTTGACCTAAGCTACGCAACTCCGGCTATGTGAATAACGTAGCTGGAGTCGATGTAGCTTAGGTTGACTTACTGCGGGGTCCTCACTACGCTGGGTCGACAGCAGACATTCTCTTATTGACTAACCTTACTCTTCTCGTTCTGGGTAGAGTACCGGTGTCAACTGGAGAGCGATCTGTGGTCAATTTGACAGGTCTTCATTAGACCTGCTAAATCGACCCCAATGCATCAATCCCCAGAGCGTCGATCCGGGGGGTAGTGTAGACATAATTTTCAAAAGCACCCATTAATTTTGGGTGCCCAACCTAAGATGCTGACGACCTGATTCTCTGAAGTGCTGAGCTCTGGGATTCCATTTTAAATCAATGGGATTTGCAAATTCTCAGCACCCTGGAAAATCGGACCTAGATGCTGGATTCACCATCACCCTTCATCATGAGAGGAAGGATCATTCACTGGTTAAGGCCCTGGCCTGGAATTTAACAGAAGCACATTTGGTTCTCTGCTCTGTCACAGATGTCTTGTGTGACTTTGGAGAAGTAACATGGGGCCATAGTTTTTAAGGTATTTAATCGCCTACAGATAGGTGAAAAAGATCGTGGGATCTTCAAAAGCTCCTAAGTGCCTAACTCCCAGGGCCAATGGGAGTTAGGCACCTACGTGCTTTTGAAAAACCTACTAGGCTCCTATTTGTATCTGTAGGCCAGGGCCGGCTCCAGGCACCAGCTTTCCACGCAGGTGCTTGGGGTGGCAGTTGGAAAGGGGCAGTGTTTCCGCAGCCACGGCAATTCGGTGGCAGCTTGTCTGTTCCACTGGCCATGGTGGCAAATTGGTGGCAGTCTCTCCCTTTTGCCGTCCACAGCGGTAGTTTTTTTCACTGCTTGGGGCTGCAAAAACTGTAGAGCTAGCCCTGCTTTAGGTGCCTAAATACCTTTAAAAATCTAGCCCTAAACCTCTCTGTGCCTCCATTTCCCCTCTGCATGGTGAGGCTAACAACACTGCCCTGCTCACGGGGAGTGTTGTGGGGTTAAATATGTTAATGGCTGTGAGGTGCTGAGATACCACAGCCGTGAGGGCTGTGCAAGAATCTAAGATAGATACATGTAAAGTGACTGTAAAATGCCACCATTCTGCTTCAGTGGTGTTTACACTGGTGCAAATGACCGCAAATGGTGCAGGCAGCAACCAATGAGCCTTAGTGGGCTTAAGCCAGATATCCAGAAACAGGCTTATCAGATGCCACTTTTGAAAATTTAGGCCTAAGTCTTTTTCAGGACAAGTCTCTCAATTTGGCTCATTGGGTGTGAGTCAGGACACTTGTTTAGCTTGTTCTCGTCATGCAATGTGATGTTTCAGTTTCTCTCAATGTGCTTTTCATGATGTTAAGCTGGCAAACACCTCATTTTAAAATAAATCTTTTATTGTAAATATCGTATCTGAGCCTTCCTGCCCCACGCCGGTAAAGACCCAGATTGCTGACAAGTTCATAAAACATGCCGCCTTGAGCAGGAGGGGGCATTGAACGTTCTGTTTGGAAGGAAAATGTTCCAGACGCGTTGCCCATATTAACAGCTTCTCAAGAGCACAAATGAAAATAACAGCATGTCTTCTTGATACCAAAGAGTGTGGTTTTAATTAGTATCATAGTTTCAGCTCTTTTTGTGGGAAGAGTTTGAGGGAGTGCTTTTTAGGCTGAATGCTCTAAACAGCTAGTAAACCCCAAGGAAAACGTTAGATAAAAATTCATGCCTGGGCTAATGCAAATCTCGAAGTACATTCTGAGAGGAAATACGAAACACACGATGATCATTTTGCAGTTGCCCCAGCATGTCCATCTGGCAATAGTGGAAATTTGAGGCAAAACTGGTTCTTTTTCTCTGCTCGTTTCCTATTGCCTTACACTGCATAATCCGTAACAATACCAACAGATGCCATCTGGCTTTGTTCTCCTCCTCAGTCAGCATTTTTGGATTCTCCCCAGTTGAAAACCTGCTTTGAATTTAGTTCTTTTTTGTTTCCCATAATCACCTACAAAGGGTATTACAAATCGGAGCAGGTTGTTGTTATTCGCAGCTGGAACGTCTGACGAAAGTGACCATTTCAGAAACTGGGCTCGTTCCCTACCTTGGAGCTAGTTATGTTGAAGGCAAACAGATTAATCCTCAGGGTTCAAAAGAGCAGCCTTCATTTTTCTTTTTCATCGACTCATTTACATCCGTGCCAGTTCTTCTGAGTCAAGGCTTCCAATGGCGCTTTTTCAGCAGCTCAGAATCTGGTGTTTGCAGCAGTGCTCTCCCTTTCTTGTTTCAGAGTGGCAGCTGTGTTAGTCTGTATCAGCAAAAACAATGAGGAGTCCTTGTGGCACCTTAGAGACTAACAGGTTTATTTGGGCATAAGCTTTCCTGGGCTAAACCCCACTTTTAGAACACGAAAGCTTATGCCCAAATAAACCTGTTAGTTCTAAGGTGCCACAAGGACTCCTCGTTGTTTTTCCTTTCTTGTTAGTTATTCTTTGTGGCTTCACAGCTAACATTGGCCAAAGGTATGAAAAGTGTCAGAGGCAGGATTCTAACTCTGTTGTTACTGCAGGCCGCTTCTGAGTTTTCCTAGATGGGGAAACTGAGGTAGAGAGAGTTTAAGTTATTTGTCCAAGGTTAGAGAGGGAATTAGTGGTGGATCTAGGATTAGAACTTGGAAGCTGCTGGCTCTCATCCTCAAGTTCCGCATGCTGACCCACTACCTCCCAAGTCCAATGAAAACTGGAGACTAGGCAAGTGCTGGATAGGGAATGACTGTTTTTCTGTTACAAAGTGACCTGTGCAGCCGAAAAGCAAATTGAATTGTGCATGCTCTCAAGTTGCTGCTTGATGTTGTGTAAAGAAGGCCTAATTTGGTTTTTATTTGGTGGTTGGTTTCAAATATTTGTTTTCTGCTTTAGTTATTTGTTTATTTTACCTTAGAAACACCATGTCTTAATTTCCCTGTTTTTACTAGCGGTGCCTGTGGCCCGCTGATGAACTAAGTGAGATTATGACATCACTAGGAAAGAGACTGAAAACAGCAATTTAGGTGTAAGGGAATTGTTAGTTTTGTTTAAATTTTGTTTTCTGGGTTGTTTTTTTTTTGTTTGTTAATGCTCATTTAACTCAGCCTTCTGACCCACACTTGGGAGAAGAGTGCTTTATGTGAAAGATTTAACACTCTGGCCCATACAAATGAAAGCTGAGAAAGTTTCAATTCCAGTTCTCTAATCAGCTAATTTTAGTAATCTCTCCTAGCTTTGGGATTTCCATATTAAATAAATCTGGTTTCCTATGTGTTCCAGACAGGATGATAACCAATGGATACTATCCATTATTTGTTCTGACTGGTTTTCTCTCTCACTGCTGTGTGCACACTGGTGTATGTGTATGTACACGCACACTTTCTCTTTCAGACTGGCTGCTAATTGTAATGACACAATAGCATCAGAGAGACTCTGATTTACATCAGTTGGCAATCTGGCGCAATTATTTTAGATGTTGCTTAATTCCATGCCTCGTGGCTAACCGGACGCGTAAGGGCTCAATGTTTTTGCGAAAGTTGAATTTTTGGTGTGAGAGAGGTGAGGCCTGCTTGGTAGTCTTTGTGCAGGATCTCCTGAATTCTAACCCTGATTCTGACAGTGGGTGTATCCACACTGGAGCAGAAGGTGTAATTTTCCCATGTTAGCTTTGATTGACTTTGACTGACTACCTGTGTAGTCCTAGCAGTGTGAGTAGCGGGATGGACTGGCAGCCCCAAATACTTGCCTACTTTTTCAGACAGGACCATCCTGGGGGCAGGTACCCACTCTCACCGCCCATGGGCTCGATCAGAGCTAGCACAGGTATGTCTCCCTGAGCTGGAAATTACACCTCCAGTGACTCCCACTGGGGCCTCAAACAAGTCGCTTTCCTTTCTGCTTCAGCTGCTCTATCTCAGAAATGGGGATAATAATACATATAACGTAGGAGAGTTATGAGACAATGTTGGTAAGGGA